GTTAACCTATCCGTACAGTTTGGATTCAGTGATTTTCGAGATGGCTCAAGTCAACGGATGACGAATTGGCAATGATTGTTAACTTTAGACGTTAAGAAGAAACAAATAGGACTGAAGGGCCCAAATACGGGACTGTGTCGTAGACATAATATATCTAGACCGAGCGTTTGCCTTTATTTGAGCAATGGGAGTAGAGGTTCACGTAGAAAACAGCAAACTCTGTTTTGTGCTATTTCGTTCTCTCTCAGCCGCATACAAACGAGACAATCATTGCCAATTCGTCATCCGTTGACTTGAGCCATCTTGAAAATCACTGAATCCAAACTGCACGGATAGGTGTGATTAACCGTCACTGATACATCTCGAACATCACTGACGCGGTTGCTGGAGTGACGGCTGAACTCCGACGGGATAATTGAAAATTTCAAAGACATAATACGATACGAATTAGACTTCAAACCTCCATGTTTTTTAGATGAAAGTGTTCTACTGTGCAGTCCACACACCGCTCTGGTATTATTTTGTATATAAAAGTCTATGTTGTGTCTACGGTCGGACGTGTGTGAACCATTAAAAGACAAGAAAACAATACTTGCCATCACTGATACTGGCGTAAATGAATGGACACGTCACGGACATGTGTAAATGGACCTTCAATTCTGGAGAAGGTTTCAGGCAGTCGTGCTGGATGATTTCCTGGCGAGGTGCGCGGTGCATATATTCCGAATTGCACGTGAGCGTAAGTTTCGTCTAAAAGTGGTGAACAAGGGGGTGGCGGAATAAGGGCTCCACCTCCCTGATAGCGTTGCAAGTCGGAAAAGTAAGTTCGCGCGGCGCGTCGCGGCGGACGATCCGAGGGAGATATCGTTGGAATTATGATTCCCCGGAGATACGAGTCGGCCTCCAGAAGCGGAGATGACGGCGGGAGATGATGCAACTTCGCGACATCGGCTTCGGTGCCTTTCCTCTGACTAAATAATTCGCTCGGCCTCCGATAACGGGGCCCGGGCAGACCCGCGGTATATCTGTCGTGAAAAACTGCTCCTCGGCAATTACGAGTGGCATTTACCGACCTCCACATCCCTATTCTCTGAATTATATCTAAGCGAGATATAGAGGGAGGGTCCCCTATTATGGAACACGCGAGGTTTTCCTCGACTCTTTAGCGACGATAGGATGATAGGAATTTCCGTCTTTCTGTGTCCGTAAAAAGAGACTTGCAAATAGAAACTCCGTTAAAAAAGTTTTTTTTAAGATTAGTAAAAAAATTGTCCAAAAAAATTCTATTTTATTAAAATACGTACGGTTCGTCCTTAATGAAATTGTAAAGCGATGAAAAAGGTGGAAAAATAATTTAAAAAAAAATTTCTTCAATTTGCAGTGACTCGTAGGACAGAAGTTACTCGTGTCTTGACACTTTTCGTGTTTCGCAGCACAATAATACTTCTTACAATCAGTAGCGCGATTACGAGAAGACGCGCGATATCCGGACATGTATACGGCCCCTGTGAATCATATCTCTCTTTCCTTCTAATCGAGCCGAAGATAACGCCGCCGTTTCCGTCCATTATGGCGTGTCCCGATTGTAATGGCTCCCCGGGACACTCAGATCGCCGTAATTTGATCTCCGTTTTGAGATAAGAACCGTATTAACTGCGCGACGGCGTAAGCCGCCATGCCATCTCCCGTGCGCGAACACTTTTCGTTGTAAGCACGCGGTTGGACAGGGGATGGTGGGGACGACGTAATTCGGCCGCATTACCGACGCTATTAACATTCTAATCACTCGCATAGCGCCGTTCCGCGATAATTATGCCTAATTGGGTTTCCTTTTCCACCTATATCGCAGCTAGGATTATTATTTGTCGAATAAAGAGGCGATCGGCTAAAGTTAGTCCCCAACTGTAACATGGAATTGCGTCAAACTTCCCCATTGTGTAATATGTTCTGCAATGAAGAACGCGTGTTTTTAAAAACTAATCTCTGAACTTAACAGATTTATAACTAGCGACGGGATTAAGTCTCTTACAAGGTTCGAATTTGTTGGCGCAGTTTCGAACTCGCTGAGATTACTTCGAAAAATAAAAGCAATACTTCGAGTGCAGATAGTATCAGGCACTCGAACCCGGACGAAATGGTTTCGAACCTCTATGAGTTCCTCGAGAAACAGGAGCGTTACTGCTTAATAGACTCGAGAACCTGGATCAAATATATTTGAATCTCTTATGAGCAGTTTACTAGAAATTTAATTTGTAAAACACGTAATATGTGCGTGTGCAGATTTCTCTTTATTACAATTTTACACGATACTTATATATCGAAACAACATAATATATTTGAATATTATTTATAAAAATGCGATTCTTTATGATAAAAACTGCTTATAAGTACATTTCGAATCTTGCAGGCATTTATTCTGAAATTCGAAGTTAAGTCCGAATTCGATTTACTTCACAAACATATTTACAACCTTCCTAATCCCTAAATTAGTAAAAACAAACTAAGACATGTGAGGGTAAAAAATGTAATACGTCAAATTCAAAGCATAAACAAGATGTCAAACATTAATAGAGAAATTTACAAAATAATTCAAATAATTCCGGTCCTCGCTTTGGACCATCTTCGGTACAAAATAATAATAAGTAAATTAACACGTAGCTAAAGATAAAGATGAGGACAAGCCTATGATCTGATGTCCGAAAACGTAATAGTCCTGAATTGGTGTAAAATTGACAACGATTTTAATCATGCATAGAGTTGCAGAAAAGATTTTCGCTCAAGATACTCTGAAAGTTTAAAGCTTCCTCTTTAACATATTAATTTGGAAATCGAAATATTGATTGACGTTTTTCTCTTTTCGTTCGGATATCGCGCGACTTGGAGTGATTGATAATATATTTTCTATTCTTTGAATCAAACAAAGAAATAGTATTGCTAGCAATATGCTCGAGAGCAAGTAAGGCAAACGTTATGGCAAACTTGTAAGTAAAATATAAATATGTTTTGAACTTCGGGAGATTCGCCCAGACAATAAACTGCATGGTCCGCCGCAGACGAGCGAGCCATGCAGTTGCGCATAGATGCATCTGCCGCGTCGCGGAGTGCCGGAGTGTAACACGAAACCGTGGTTAACGTCACACGTTCAATATTGATGCGTCGGCGGTGCTCGCCGGCCGGATGGCGTCTCGCGCACTCGCGGATAATTTGTAAATGCAAAAAGAAGCACGGCGGGCCGGCGAAAACGCCCTCCCGGGGGGGGGAGGGCGAGGGTTGTAGCCAGAAGGTGGACGCGTTTTATGCGATGTTAAATTTCACGCGACGGTCCTACGTGCTCTTCGACCTCTCTGCACCCCATCTCCCCCCTCTCTCTCTCTCTCTCTCTCTCTCTCTCTCTCTCTCTCTCTCTCGCTCGCCTCCTGTCCTCCTCTGCCCCCCGGAGAAAGGTATTTTCTTCCTCTCGTTAACTCGCGGCGAGAAAAAAAATTCTGCCACGCCGTCCGGCGATTTTCGGCCGGTCGATATAATCGCGCGAGTTTGCCTCGTCGGCGCGATGAATTAATACCCCTTTCCTCTCTCCTGTTCCCCCGCCCCTTCCCTGCCGCGCGCGGGCTTCCATCTGTGACACCCCCGAAGCGCAACGCTTCGGGACGACCGTCGACAGGCGCGGCCCCGAGCGGAAGGGAGCGTCGGGCGCGCCCAAAATTGATGGTTAATTCAAAACCACCGCGGGGGCTGCAACTGAATTTGACCGAGGCAAATAACGGGGCACGAGCGCGGCGCGGGCGACAGGAGGGTCGGGGCTGGAAAAGGGTGGCGCGGGGGGATAGGGTTACGCGCGCGGGGGATGGATGCGGCGGTGCATCAGGTTGATTCGCGGGCTGCAGCTGTAAACACGAATAATGGAGAGTACCGATCGGTAAATTGTGTGCTCGGGTCCCCGCCGAGGGTGGTTGCATGAGCGGCGGCCCCGGTTCTCCCGCGCGCCATTCTGTCCCTCCCTTCAGCCCTTGTCCTCGCGAATTTTTTTCCGCCGTCGCGTCGCGGCGCATCTCGCGGCGATTGTTACGCGCATGTGTGTTTGCCCGCCGGCGCGATATGCACTTTGCCAAACGCGCGCCTATGGGAGACCCGGAATCGTCATCCCGATTTAAACTACCAATCTGGTCTGATCGATCGATCGCGGTGTTTTCGGCCGCGCGGCGTGTCCGAATACCGTCCTCCGTGAATTAGACGTGAATGAAAATGGATATTTGCTTTCTACGAGGGTCCCAATAAATCGTTCCCTTTAAAGGGATTCTAAAGTCATCTGTTTTATCGACATTCTTTATTAGAAGTAATCTTTTAATTGACTTTAAATAAAAAATTAAAAATTTTACCAATTTTTGGTACACTTGACGACAATATTTGCTTGACACAAGAATTCTACAATAAATATATACAAAATGAGACCAGCGTACTCTAGGGACAACATATGAGAACAATATCGTGCAATTAGAACTAAGATTAATAGCCTAGAAAAAAAGATTACTTCTAATGAACGCAAGAAATCCAAGTCTAGAAGAAGAGAGAGGTCGCTGCCAAACATCTGTCAGACTGTCAGTAAAGCAATGGTGTTGACGATGCTAGAATTCGACCCGAAATCTCGGTCCGAGCAATGTGTAGCTAATAAAATTGCTGGTTTTTCGCAAAAGTTGCAAAAATTGATTGGCTACAAATTTCTCGGACCGAGTAGAACTTGGAATTAAAAATGTCGATAATCGACATTTTTAATTCCATTTCCTGTCTTATTGACACCGATCGAGTTCGCCAGCGGCTTGAGGATTCCCTTAATGCGCGCGGCGTGCCGCATTTCCACAGATCTACATCCCGGGCGCAACTCGCGATAAAAAGAGCAAATGAACGAGGTAGAGGGATAATTTCTTTTTCCGCGTTGCAAGAGGGAGAGAGCGGCGCACGCGATCAGGTGTATATTTCATCCAAGTATCTTCTTCTGCTTTCAGTTACCGTGAGAACGCCCAGAGGCTTTCGAAAGCTTATCGTGATCGACCTGCCACGCCGCTGGAGACGGCGGTATGGTGGACGGAATACGTCGCCCGGGGCAATGGCAGATTTTACTTCCGCAGCGAGGGCGCAGATCTACCCTGGTACCAGAGTCTTCTCATCGACGTCGTGCTTGTTTTCATTATCGTCTCCGCGGCGCTCATCTACATCGCCTTCCGGTTGATCAAGCTGCTGCTGTCGCTGCTCGGCGTCGTCAAAGGAACGCCCGGGAGCCAGGCCGGGGAGAAGAGCAAGTGGAAGAAGAGGGACTGAAGGCAGACGGCGGCAGCGTCGCGTTGGAAAAAAAGCGATTCCGAAGAGTGAAAGATAGCGGAGAACGCGGTCCCTCGCGTGAACGTCGATGGTCGGATTACGAGTGAATTTTGAGCGACGGGGATGATCGGCCATCGAACGGAAATAAATCGGCCAACGCGAAAAATCTAGTTGCTAGAAGAATAAAATATTTTTTTTATGGGAAGAGACTCTTGTGATCGTTTTATCATTAAATCCCTCCCTACTTCTTCGGCGACGCTCGACTCGAATATCGCGGGTCGCGAGTAGATTTTTATGCTTTTGTCGATATTTCCACGTAAAGTCGGTCGGGAAGTACGTTCGCCAGTCCGCGTATGTCGGCTGGGTTTAGCTTAATTGTTATCGGCGATTTCTTCCCCGGGAGGTGCGGAACCTTAAAACTGGCGCGGGGCAAAGTCGTTTAATCCCTGGATAGTTCGCAGTATTTTATAGTATCCAAGTATAACCGTTAACTGGAACTCGTCCGAACAACGCGCAGGTGGTGTAAAACTTATAGTTTGCTAGTTTCCGTTTTTTTTTACTTCCTCTCGTTTTACGAAAAAGAAACGGCGAAACTATTCTTCATGTTCTGTCGACTTGCGTCGCATAAAGCGTTCGTTCCTTTGTTCCTTCATTCTTGCCTGCAGTCGAAGTTGAAGTTCATTACTTTTATCGTGGTGTGCAACGCCCCAAGGAAAGTTGATGCCTTATATCAAATTACAGTCTATTACGAAATATACAGAACACGTTCTTTATGAAATATATAATTTTCATATTTTATGAACATTTTAATAAAAGTTCGTTTGGCGGAATTAATAAATAACAGTGCGTGAGCTACATTTATTTAACAGATATTGTCTCGAAGACGATTGCTTCTTTTAATTAAAGTTATATAGAGACGATGCGGGAAGCTTCTAAATATTTGCAAACTCCTTTACTTCAAACGGAGAAGGAGATGTAAAGAGGTTTCTATGATTAAATTATAATTTATCTTTTTATATTGTTCTTTTCTTATTCCTTTTAATGACTTTGAGAAAGATTTAGGAAGACTTAGATGCGTGGAAGAGATATATCGAGGGCAGGAGAAGAGAGGCTGGAAACAATGGGCGGAAGAGGAAGCGAAAGAGGTGACGGAACGGAATGTAGAGCGGACGCGGAGAAGAGGGGAGGGAGGGGGGCGCACTGAAAGCTCGCGGGAGGGAAGCGAGAACAACGAAGGAAGAGAAAGGGGAATGGAAATGCCGCGAGAGCACGGTGGAGAGACGTACGAGAGTGAGGCAGCTTTGCGGGCATTAAGGGGTATTTCCCAGGTGGCCGTGTCTCCCACTGCGTCAACCGGCTTCCGTCCCTCGGTTGCAGAGCAACGGCGAGCAAGAACCACGGGGGCTGTCGAGTTTACGGTGCTGGTGTCATCGTTCGCAGCGCGATACCACCGTTCTCTTCGTGCCACCTGGCTGTAGGCACAGCGACACCCGAGAAGCCAGTTCGGGCGATACGCTTTTCGTGGAAAAAAAAAAGAAACTTCGTTACCGTAGCTAATCATGGTTTGCTAAAAATATTTTTCTGCCGTAACTACAAATTTCTAAACCACAGCAAACGATTTGCCGTCGCACCTAATACAATGGGCAGCGTAGCAAAATATTTAGCAGTCGCAACTAAATGTTAACTGTCCATATTTTACTACTAAAATTTAACCGCCACATGTAGTTTTTAGCTACGGCGGCTATATTTTTCTTTCAGTGCGACAAAGGGAGACCAAAAAGTCCGCGATTTCTCTCCGGGACAAATTTGCTCGATTTTTAAGACCAGTAACGCGACCAACAACGAAATGTTTTCTTCTAGGCCGGTATTAATAAATTCGTAATCCCCGGAGTTATCTCAACAATTCTAATTAAGGCTTTTGGCCTCACCGAGGTATTTCATATCGGGAAATTGAAACGTCGCGGTGGAGGGCGTTCAATAAAATTTTCGCCGGAGGGAAATAAAATTTATATTAATTAAAGAATTTTTTCCACTCGCGTGTGATCTCGCGGCCGTTCGGCACAATCGCGCGAGGAGCGACAATGATAATCGCTTTGTCGGGGAGAACGGTTTCGACGGTGACGCAACAAAGGCGGATCGCGCGAGACATTGCGCTGGATTAAAGGCGATTCACCTCGAATCCTGTCGCACTCCACCGCCTCCGTTTCTCCGCTTTCACGGAGGCTGCTGCCTCGCGTTATCCCTGAAAGCAGCGCATTCTCGCAAAGATATGCGAGACGGTAAACACCGGTTTTCGGTAATGCTGGCTCACGCGCGACGATAATCGCTCGATTAAATCTGTGATCCATTTATAATCCAAACATTTGGATATTTAAAGAATTGTTCGACGCCAGTACACGATTAACCAATGTAGAAAATTGCTGGACGGCGCTTGGCTGGCAAATTCTAACTAAAGAAATTCATTGCGAAAAATATTACCTCAGCCAGGGTTTGAACCTGGACTTCCCTACACTCTACCCAGATAGCACAAGACACTCCTCATTTTAAGAATATTCTTCCAGAATATTTGGAATATTCCATACGTCATTCTTATATGTTTATCTTTTGTTCGTGGAACATTCGACTGGCATTACTATAAATCTTTTTCGAATGCGAATAGAACAATCTATCGAATATAGCGTGTCGGTTATATATGGTATTATGGTATGATCACTGGTTTCACTGTGTGTATTACACAATAAACGATGTGCAATGCATAAACTCGATGAATATTAAAAAATTATTCTGAACGAATATTCCAAAGACATTCTCGACGAATATTCTGAAAACGTTCTTCTTTGTTATGAATATACGGTTTCTAATTGTAATAATCTATATATATTTATAGAATATTCGATTAGAATATTTTCAAAATAAGAATATTTGCACTCCAGAAGAATATTCACAGAACTATGTGTGTTATCTGGGTAGGCGGGCGTCTCACCAATTCGACCACTGAGGTAGTCGAGGTATATATTCGAAAAATAAACGCGAAGGTGTCATCGGTAGTGCTGTTTATTGCGATGAATATTACCACATGCTTCAGTGGTCGAATTGGTGAGACGCCCGCCTAGGGCGTAGGGAAATCCAGGTTCAAACCCTGGCTGAGGTAATATTTTTCGCAATAAGTTTCTTTAATTAGAATTTGCCCGCCAAGCGTCGTCTAGCAATTTTCTACATTTCGATACTTGTCGATTTAGATATCAGACGAGTCCTGTTTTATTTATCTACGAATTTCTCGATCAACCTCACATTGGCCTTTTTCCCACAGAAAGATGATTTGACGACGCATCAGAGAGCTCAATCTCTAATTTGAAATTGGGTTAATAGTAAGATTCAATAATAGAATTATTCAAGTAATGTTATTTAATCTTTAGTACGACGAATTACGTCAGTTTTGATTAATTATTTCTGCTTGATATTGATGTAAATTCGATAAAAGTACCTATCTTAAAATACTTCTTTTTTTACCTTTTATTTAAATTATCCAATACGTGTGCCGTCTACTTTTCATAAAATTGGGACTAAAGCAATAAATTACTGCGCTCATATGTCACGTGATTTTTCCCTCGACTGTTATATTTCTACATATCCTTTGATTTTTCTCGCCAGCTGAAAATTTCTCGTTGTACGAGTTCTCTTCTTTAATCCGGAGAAGTGCGTTCTAGTTTTCAGAGCGTGCATTTCCGCGAATATCGTACTTTGTCTTACTCCTCAACTTGACGAAATTATAGAGCCGCGAGAACTTAAATTGCATTAAAACGAAAGAGATTTATGTGTGAAGGAGAGTACGATAAATTTTAGAGTAAAAAAGGCCGCGCGACTAGTTGATTGTAATTGTCCCGGGGGAAATATTTGCAATGAGATATTCGAAATGTCACGCGCATTATAAAATTGGATCGACGAGTGCAAAAACCACGCGAGTCCAAAAACATTCGTAATTGACTTTATTGCGTAAATGGGCTTGCCGACCATAGACAAGGCCATTTAACGCAATAGAGTCAGCTTCGAAAAATTTTCGACTCGTGTGGTTTTTGCACTCACCAATTCAATGGATAAACACACATTGCGATCGTAAAGTAGAAGCCTGCTATCCAATTACGTGTCCGTGCGGTGACGGACACGCGATTTACAGGAGGCTGAGTTTGGGATTAATTATTACGTTGCGAATTCATTGTCTCGCAGGCGCCGCGCTCGGAGACACGGATGACGTTTGACGTTCGGGGGAGAATAACGAGTGGTGGATTGCGTGATTCTCTGGTACGAGGCGTCGCATCGCGGCGCTTTCATCTCGTCCGGACCGGGCTTTTGCACGTGACGTTCAAAAACCTCTTAAAATGCAGGCGACACTTTAATCGAATCACCCAGAGCGGTGTGCCGCAGACGTGCGGCGATTGCCGGAACGGCCTGCACCTGCGCGGCGCTTGAATGGCGTTTTTGGACGTATGAAAGAACAGTTTGCGGCGCACGCGGTTTAATTTGTTCTTTGCCGGCCACCTTTGATAATCCCGGCGACGTTTGCATACTCACGGTAAGATGAAGCGAGTAAAAACGAGGAACTCCCGCTTCGCACCAGCTGCATATTGTATCAGCAACTCTATCGCTTTCCCCTGACGACAATGTATTGTTATAATCTCTGCAACTTTGATCTTGTACAATTTTCGAATGGACTTTTCGAGATTTAGTGACAAGAATTTTATCTATCGTCAGATTTCGCGTATGTGCGATTCGGATGAGGTAAAAAAATATGATTTTTTTTACTAAAAGATACCTAGAGGGATTTTTCAAAGGGATGTCTGATAAGAGTTTTGCTGAAATGAAAACTGTCACGTGAAAGAGAGAGGATACTCAGATTTTCGCGTTTTATCGTAGTTGCCTGTGAAACACTACGATACAAAGATTATAAGAATTCGTTAGTCTTGTGTAAAAATTCACTGGAAAACCGAGTGAGGGGGCACCTCGATATCTTTCCCCATTCATTTCTACGCTTTGTGACACGCCGACTACATATTCGCGATGCTTAAAACGCTCTTAAGGGACGCCCGACATTTCAATGGAATCGCGGTTGAGTACCGTGCAGGATGTAGCAGGATATTTCGCGCGCGATTGTGGCGCAAGTAACCAGATAAATTCTGGATACGCCGAAAGTAGGTCTCTTTGTCAGTATTAATTCTTTTCCCAATTTTCGTCAATCGTAGAAAGTTCGGTAAAACGAGTAGTAACTGCAAGACTCGTAGTGCTCCATAGTTACTATGTTTTTTTTAGCAATAAAGGAGAACAGTAATTTATTTTCTCTGTCTCAATAAAATAGAGAAAACGAGCCACACAATTCGGTGAAGATAAAGAAGTAAAAAGTCACAGAATAAAAATATAATTAGAGCCGTAAAAATAGAATTAATAATGTAATAATATCGGTAATACAAACGAACGATTTTACACAAAATCGTAACTTTTTATAGGAAGCGCCTCGCGCTATGATAATTTTCTCGTATTCAAGTTAATGAACTTTTACGAGGCACCTCTTTATATTTTCTCTCTCTCTCTCTCTCTCTCTCTCTCTCGCCGGCAGAATTTAAAAAATACACGGACGAAGTAGCATGCTTTATCGGAAGTATACGCTGGGAAAATTTTATGAATAATTGTATAATATCTTGTTTAAGAGCGGGAAAGTTATGCTATCGTGCAATCGCGACACGCGATAATGAAAAATTTCAGTGCCGGGTTTTACACTTCTCGCCCGCTGCTCGCTATATATGTACACCGTTAATTCATCCTGATAAAATTATAGATAACACTTAACTTCGTGTTTTTCGACCACTCTACGTTACAATAACAAAACTCCTCGTCGTATTCCGGCGCACGAAACCTTCCGTGACTTGGGATAAGAACAGACTGGATAAAAACTGGTCGTAACTTCCCGCTTTATCCGTCGTTAGGTTTTAATTTTGAAGCCAGAGGTTCACCGCGCTGTTAAG